TAATACGACGGATTCAACATGGACCACTGTTAGTGCTAGCCGGTGGCTCCAACAAGCCTTCTTGCCATGACCCACTTGATAACACCCTTTACTTAATGGAACAAACAAATGATTTTTTACTTAATAGAAAAAAATTCTGAAGGAATTTTGTATCAAATTTGGCTAGGGATCCATTGACATTTTAATGTAGACAACCACTACACAACTTCCATCCATTTAATAAACCATATGTGAAGTTAATTAAGCCACCATTAATTAAAATCATACTTTAAATTGAATATGAGACCATAAATGGTTTTATTTTTTCACTTGGTCCACAACTTTAAGGTGGATACTCGATGTTATCATTAGTGAAATTGCCAATAACTTGTTCAAATAGAAACTCACAATACTTGAATCATGAATGTCCTTTTTTAATAACCAAATATTTCCTTCCATATATTACAAGTACGTTCACTTATGAAAGAATACTTTATTTTATGAATAAACTTCCTAAAGTCATTTTGGGTCTAAACTTTAATAATCACAATTGAATATCGATCATAAACTTTGCACCAATAACATCGTTTAAAACATAGAAAAAACAATCTTAAACACAAAAAATTAGAGTACCATGATAGTGCAAGCAAATCTCATGTTCTCAACAAGCTATTCATGAACTTTATCTGACAAGCCTTTAGTCACGTGATCTGCTATCACAAAATCTTTCTTGATATGCTCATTGATCACTTTATTTTTCATTTTATGATCTCTAACAACCAGATATTTTATAGTGATATTTTTACTTCGACTTCTACTTTTATTATTTTTTGAAAAGAAAAGTACAATCGAACTATCGCAATAAATCTTCAAAGGCTTCCCTATAGTATCAACAACGTTTAAGGCTTTGATGAAATTTCCCAACAATAATGTGAGTGTTGTAGCTTTATAGAAACCAATTAGTTCTACCTTCATTGTAGTAGATGCAATTATAACTTCTTACTAGTTCTCGAAGATACAACTCCTCCACCTAGAAGAAAAATATATCTTGAAGTACACTTATTTGTCTACTAAACATATTATTTTGAATCAATTCAAGTAAAATTTAATTAAAATATAGTATACATTAATTCATTAAATCATTGCATACCCTCAGAATTTATTATTTAATGATGACAGTGTTATACAGTCGAATTTTAATATATTAATCATTAAAATATTTCAAAAGAATATCATAATATCATTTTTTATTATTTGATATTTATTTATACTCGTAAATAACTAATTTGTCAAATTAAATTTGATATATGTCTAAACATAAATGTTCACAAAAGTAATCCTACCTATAAACAAAATAACTAAATACATATAGTTAAATTTAAACAACGTCAAACGAATTCTATTTACTATATGTCAATTTATATTTACATAGTTTACTTTGAACGAATTAACCATAACTGCACGAATTGTAGAAAATTTCTTCTTTACTTGATAATAAACCCAACTTATATGAGGTATGAGTAAAAGTGATTGCGCGTAAAAGTTCGAGAGGTGTGTTTGATATTGTCTTAAAAAATAAAAAATTGAAGGTATAAGGTCAAGCAAATGAGACCGCTTTGACAAGATTATCGAGAGAAGAAGAGAGGAGCGTGAATTATAATATCTCCATTTAATATGTTGTTTAATTATTTTTTTAATATTTTCTAAAATTATAAGATTTAGGAATGTATAAGAAATTTGGGACAGGGACCATGTTCTTCATTCCCATGATCTTCTAATGAAGTAGAAATTTCCTTCTGTTCGAGATAGGACACTGTAATATCGGGCGGTCGCGAAATATTTTCCCATCCCTATTAGATAATTTAAAATTTTTAAGGTAAAGTGCTTGAGCTATTCATTAGTTCTATTCTATTAACTATTAAGATGCCAAGTGATCATAGTTTCCCACATTTAATGCTATTTATGTAAAATTCCTAAACCCATTTTCATTGGCAATTTGGGTTAGTCAGAAATTTTCAGGCCATCTTTTTAAGGCTCGTTCTCGCAGAGATTCTTCAACCTCATCACCATGGCTCCTTCACCCCTGCCTTCGAATTTGTTCTCTGCTTCATCTTCATATTCTTCTCAATCTTTCTACTTGATCACATTTCACTCACAACCCCATTTTTCAAACAGATTTCGAGGTCAAAAATTGAAAATTTCTTGCACAAAATCCGTTCAACACGAAACCAACCCTGTAAAGAAGAAGAGAAAACCCAGGCCAAGCTTTATTGAAAAAATTCAAGATAAATGGTCCCTCAAAATCCCTTCTTTAAGAGAGAAATTCCCTTGGGAAGAACATAAACAAGAGAGTGATGATTCGATTCAGGATTATGAAGAACATCTGCTGCCGTTATCTGAGGGTGTCGTTACTGTGACAGTAAGTGAGGACAATACTTCTGGGGATAGCTCTGCGAGCTCTAGTTCAAGAAATAAGTCGATTTTAGCTCCTTGGGTTCATGGAAATAAACCAAGGAAGGACTTGCCTGATTCTCAAGCTACAGAAAAAATTCAAGAAGAAAGTAATCATAGAGGGCAAAACCTTGATGGGTTTTCTGAGCATTGTAAAAATGATGAAGCTTTTGGTAGTGTTGTTGAAGACTCTGGGGATTTGATAAAGGGAGTTAAATTAGATTGCAATTGTGATGAAACAAGTGGCAAGGTTGATACTATCCCTATAGGATTATCAGAAAAATATGAGATTTTGATTGAAGACGAGAGTGAAGATGCCTTTTTTGTGGAGGATTCACGGAGCATTTCTCAAGAATTCAGCAGTAAAAAAGGATCAGATGATGTTAGTGATTCTATGAGATTACCATGGCAGAGAGGAACTAATGAGGACCCTGTGAAAGAGGAGAAGTTAAGGAAGAGTAATACAGAGTTGGCAGAAAAATTGATACCGGAACCTGAACTGAAGAGGCTTAGAAATGTGGCATTGAGGATGGTAGAGAGAATGAAAGTCGGGGCAGCGGGAATAACACAAGCATTAACCGATGCAATCCACGCGAAATGGAAGGACGAGGAAATCGTAAAATTGAAATTTGAAGGGCCTCCTTCAAAGAACATGAAGAGGACACATGAGATTCTTGAGGTAAGTGTCCACTTATCTTAAGTTTTTTAGTAGAGAAGAATGATTTAACTGCCAATTGTAATAAATGTTTATTGTACTAGTGGGTAAATGCTGCCTTCAAGTTGAATTGCTAATTTCGTGAGCATTAAACTATTTCTTTGTTCATTACATTCTTACCGTTGTAGTTTCTCTTCAAATTTCAATTTTACGATTTATTTGTATCACGGTTTACAAGAATTCATGATGAAGTGTATTTCTTCTTCCATATATTGTGCTGTTTAATTGTTAGGCTAGAACTGGAGGTTTGGTTATATGGAGATCAGGAAGTTCGGTAGTTCTATACAGAGGAATGTCTTACCAACTTGATTGTGTGCAAGCATATAGTAAACGTATTCAAGCTGATATTGAGGCTAGATCTTCGTCAGATTCTGTTAATGATGTTACTCAATGCGGTAACGTGAAACTGTTATCTGGAGCTGCAGAATCATCTCAAAATTATACTTCTAAGTATTTGAATGGTCTATCTGAAGAGGAGCTAATGGATCTAAGTGAGCTCAACCTTCTTTTAGACGAGCTTGGTCCAAGGTTCATAGATTGGTCAGGTCCGGAACCGCTGCCTGTTGATGCAGACTTGCTGCCTGCTGTCGTTCCAGGATATAGACCCCCATTTAGACTACTTCCCAATGGGGTTAGACAAACCACATAAAGTTAAATCACAAACAGGTTGTGTGTTTACACGTGGAGGAACGACTATATCATAGAGATCTGTGAAGCAATTCTTGACAGCTAAATCTTCAAATTATTATGAAATTATTGCAATTCATGAAGCAGGCCGAGAATGTGTATGGTTGAGAAACATGACCCATCATATCCAAGTATCATGCGGATTAATTTCAAGAAAGGATAGTCCAACAATTTTGTATGAAGACAATGCAACTTGTATTGCACAACTCAGAGGAAGCTATATCAAAGGTGATAGGACGAAGCATATTTCTTCAAAATTCTTTCATACATATGAGTTTCAAAAGAATGACGACATCGATATCCAACAAATTCGCTCAAATGACAATGTGGCCGATTTATCATAAAAGTATTGCCAACATCTACATTCAAGAAATTAGTTCATGAGATTGGAATGCGTCGACTCAAAGATTTTCAGTGATCAACGTCAGGGGGAGTAGCTGTACTATTTTCCTTAGCTTAGGTTTTGTCCCACTGATTTTTCCTAGCAAGATTTTAATGAGGCAGCATTTATTTTTAGTACTCTAAAATAACTGTACTCTTTTT